GGTTCAGCACAGCTCTGTGTGTGTCCCCACTTGCTAGTCGTTAGGTGTTGTGGTGTGACAGGTGAAACGGGAGTGCCAACATCTCTGATGGTGGCAGAACTAACTGAATTAATTTATTACCCTACACCCAGCTCTGACAGGCAAGTCGCATTGCTTATTTCCAGGACAGGTGGTCACACAGGTACTGGACCTGTATTTGGCATTGTCAGATACGTTGGACTGCTCTTTAACATCTTTTATCAGGAAGCAGCAGCAGTATGGGAAAACTAGATCATCAGTCAATATTAATTAAAGCTGAGAAATACCAATTTTGCAACCTTGCCTTTTACTGTTTTAGTTCTGCTTAGCTTTTCCTCCAAATGCATCTTGCAAATGCACATGCATCAAAAATGTCTAAAACAAACTGTTTTGTTAAGGAGCGTAGCCAAATTCCAGCAGCCTAGCAAACAGGAATGTTACCCCAGGCGCACTTGCCTACCCCCAGCCATCCGCAAAAATGCTGGAGAGCCTGCAGGAGAGAAAAATCACAGGCTCAGTAATGCATCCACAAGTACAACTAAGTGCCCTATGAGTTTTAGTTATGAGCCAAAGGATATAACCTGATTCTGAGATGCTATTTCTGTAGTCTTTCTGTATGAATTGCTCGGAATGTGCTCTTGGTGTTCAGCTTTGAAGAAAGAGGATTACTGGAAGCAAGATCTGCTAAGCAATGATACAGATACCAGGCTTATAAAGTGATGAAGCAGCAAGTATTTCTTCTCTCTCTTTATGCAGACTCAACAGTGACTTTAATTCCCCCAAATGGCATTGGGACATTCTCTGTCTCTAGAAGAGCTGTCATTTGAATAATATATTATGAGGGTCACAACATTTTGTATCTTCAAACCAATGGTTTCAGGCCTCTCTTCAGTGTTTCTGAGCATTTGTGCCCCTGTAAGTTCAGAGCCTCGTTTCAGCAGTTGTCTTCCCAAACAGCTTTTAAGCAGAGTTGCATAGTCCCAAAGTCCAAAGCACCACTGAAGGCAGAGATGATGTTTTTCAAACTGAATTTCAAAAGAGCTAAAGGGCGAGAGATGGAAAATAATCGCATTTTCCAAGAAGGATCAGTTTGGAGAGACAAAAGAAAAATCAATCTCTATGCATGCAGTTGGAATGAAGGTCATATTCTGAACACCTTAATAAATCACTCTCTTCACAGAGAAGTAGTAGAAGTCTATACATGGCATTTTTCAGCCAGTGCTACCTAAAGCATGGCAATAGTCTTCCTGGAGAAAGGACACACAGAGGAGAAGATACAAGTCCCAAGAACATGAAGTGAATAAGAACAGGCACAGTGTGATCAACAAGAGGAATAAGAGTGGTAAGGAAGAGTAAGGAATACCTTTGTTGCTTTGTTTTGCTATATGCTACTGAGATAAATTAGGATTAATACATAAGTGACTGGTCATCACTGCCACCTTCATCCCCTCTCTGGGAAGCTGTAAGAGAGGGAGGACTAAATGATACCACCAGCAGCTAACACCTTTAGAGTGCCTGCAAGCAGCTGCATCACGGAGGCCAGATGGTTCAGATGTTAAACTGCCCATCCCTTTTCAGACTGAAACCGTCTTTTTGGAAAGCTCAGCTCTGGCTGAATGTGCATATCCCTTTCTGGCCCTAATCTGTCTAATAAAATGAGCCAAAAGCCAAATCTGGTATGTAACTACATGGCTGTAGTCCATCTCTAAATTACATCCAGCTACTGTCAGAGACGTTTCCCATTAACCTTCTATCTGCCACTTGCAAACACTATCCAAATATCAAACGCTGTGTGGCAAGTTGCAGAACAGCTTGCAAGATGCAGCCGATGCAGAAATTCTATTCAAGTCACTGATGACTGGGTATATGTTACCTTCATCTGAATGATCACGGTGACTTTCTTTGCTATCATTAGGGTGCAGAGCCTTTAACACAGGGTACAGTGAGTTTGCTGGACATTTCTGGTTTGCAGGAAAACACACGGTCCCTTCAACTGGATGCCTTTTAAAAAGGCACCACGGAGCTCTTGGCCAGATTCTCCAGCTCACTAGGGCCTCCTCCCCCTGCAGAAGTACAGGCCTAAATGAAGATGAAGATGGCCAAGGAGGAATTCCTCTTGTACTGAGGCTACACAGGGAAGTGGTTGTTTGAGATGAGAATGAAGAGGAGAGGGCAGGAGAAGAGCAAGAAGGAGACTTCATTCTCTCAGGCATCAGGTTAATGCTGGAAGTCAGTGCTGCCTTTGTAATGTGAAAGCAATGGCTGTGAAAGAAAGGAGTAGAGACCATAAAACCAAAGGTCTAGAAGGCTGGACCTCACACACGGCATGCAACATTCGCTGAATCTGCCAAAGAACAGCAGTGCCAGACTGATAATGGCCAAACTGTGTACCTGGCCCAGCATTTATGCTCTTGTTAGGCAACCTGTAGAAGCGCTGAGTACTTCCATCTCCAAAACCAGTGCTAGATATAATAGCAGCTAATGAGAGTAACACTGTTACTCAGTGACTTTTTCTTGCCTTCAGGACTTTTCTTGCCTTCAAAGAACCATGGACATCTCCTGCATTTTTAAAATGTTATTTTCTTTGGAAATAAGTTTGCTTCATTGCTGACTTCTCATCCTCTAGCTGCTTTGAGGGTGGTGGCTGAGGTCCCGTCTCTGGCACCACTGAGACTGTAAAGTCTTCACTGCAACTCAGCCTTTTGCTCAGAGACTAGGAGGTCACTTGGGGAATGTGGGATTTTTCGTTCCAAATGGATTTCTAACACAGACATGATGTCAGGACAAGGCAGGGCCATGCTATTGAACAGCTCTGTTCATGCATGATGGCAGATTGTGCAATTATATAGTGCACAACCCTGGATAACGATACCTCTCCCTCAAACAAAGTTATCTTATCCTGATCTGCTTAGCTAGAAAGTGGCACATGCTTCCTGTTCTTCTGCTGAACGCACAAACCTTTCACTCGTGGCTGAAGCTGAACACTAGATACATTCAGCCTCCCTGCAAGAAGCTGGGACCTTTACCCAACAATCTTGTTGGCTAGATGCCACCCAACTTAGCGGACACCTGCTTTCTAGTGACACGTCTCTCTGTCCATCCCAGAGCCAAAGCCATCTATCAGTCTGATCACTAGGGCAAGAGTCTCCCAGATTTCATCTTCTCTCTGCCACCTACTGGTGTCAGAAATCATTAAATGTAGATAGCCCTGGGCAAATCTTTAGGCAGAACTTGCCGTGTCCCTACAAGACTGGTAAATGTCACCATCATCCACATTTTAAGGGCAGAGCTCAGTAGAGCTCTGAGATTTTTCCAGGAGTCTCTTCAGAGCCCTCCAGGCACTGGGGGATATAAATTGCTGGGAAATACATGTTGCTGGGGAACTGCAAACAAACCATAAAGAAAAGAGAGGGAGAAAGATATAACGCATCAAGAAAGAGGGAAATTGGGGAAGTGCGTAACAGGAAGGTTTGGGCAAGAACACAGAATTGATTGTGCTGAGCGTCAAGTGGAGGATAAATACTTCGGGGAAATGTGTTTTTAATTTAAGGGATGGAACGAAACTAGACAATTAATAAAGATAAGCAGGGCAAAAGTGGAATGTCTTTCAGTATCTATTTAACTTAAATGTAGTTCTTCTCTGAAAATTACTGTTATAAGAGGACCTGGGGAATTACAGGCCAGTCAGCCTAACTGTGATACCTAGAGAGATACTGAAACCAATTATGAAACAATCAATTTATAAGTAGCTAAAGGACAATAAGGTGATAAGAAACAACCAGCAGGGAATTTTGAAGAACAAATCCTGTCAAAGCGGGCTAATTTCCTTCTTTGACTAACAGGCCTGGTAGATGAGGAGGAAATGGTAGATATAAAATACCATGATTTTAGTGAGCATTTAGAAAATATCTAGATCACAGGCTCCCAGAGCAGCAAGCAAAGTCACCATGCAGAGGCTACACAGGTTGAAGTACCATAATCCAGGGTAATTATCAGGGCTTCGCTTTCCCAGCTGGGAGGATCGCATCCCTGAAGTTCTGCCTCCAGGGCTGCTCAATATTTCCTTGCGTGTTTTGGGCAACAGACTAGAGGACAAAACCGAAAGGATGACAGCTGGGCTGGGGGGGAGGCGGCAGTCCCTCCTGAAGGCAGGGGGGCTGGGGCGATCAGAATTTGAGAAGGCAGCAAGACACTGGAGAGCTGGGCCGCCCTCTGCAGAGGTGACTGCACCAAGATAGGATTCAGGAAAGGGGACTGCACAGACACCAAACACGCTGGTCCAAACTAGATCGTAACCATTTCGGCAGCAGTGCAGCAAAGGAAGAGCTGGGGTGGGGCCGAATATGAGTCTGTTAAGTGTGATTCCCGCAGAAAAAGACAAATCTCATTCTGAGATGCTTTAAGAGGAGTTTTGTGTATAAGGCAAAGGAAACAATTATTTTTTGCATTTACTTGGTACTGCTGAGTCTCAGCTGTAACAGTGTGTCCGGTTCCAGGCACTACATTTTACAGGAGATGTAGACAAATTGGAGGGAGTCCAAAAAAGAACAACAAAATGATAAGAGATGTGAAAAAACATGACTTATAAAGAATGGATAA